TACTTTTTTCTTCTGTTTCACTCACAGTAGGCCGTTTGCAGCCTGATCATTTCGATTTTTATGAAACCTGTCTTTAAAAGGGTGCATTTATAAACGCGTTATTTTTAATTTTAATACGCACGGGATATATATTAGTCGTCAGTATGTTTCCGACATTTTAGACTGAAGAGACGTTCCGCACGTAGAGTTTCCAACTGTGAAGAATTTTTAATGCTCAACTTAGCTTTTTACGATACAATTTTCATGTTTAGGAAAAAGTAATTCGATTTTTTTCTTTCTTTCTTTTTCTTTTCTGTTTTTTTTTTTTTTTTTTGCTTTGGAAACTGCAAGTGGCAAAGAAGAGCTTGAGAAGATTTTCAGTTTGACTTACTTGCTGCAGTTGGTCTAGTCAGCATTCAAGCAATGTTTCTCAAAAATAAATGAAATTGTTGCAGAAATTTTTTTTGCTAAAAAGATTGATTTATTATTATTATTATTTTATTTTTTGTAATTTTTAATTGCCGTTTGTAAACTATATTAAGTTTGACTGTCATGGTGCAGTTGGTCGTTTTTTTTTTTCGTAAAGAAATTGTTGCAGAAATTCTAGCTAAGAAGACGTCGTGAATATCCCAGGATAAGAAGAAAGTATAATATAAAAATATAGAGATAAATCTTTTTGTGTAATTAACTTTAATACAAATTATCAGTCATGCAGATTGAGTGGCATCTTCCATATACATATATTATATATATATTTAATGAGATGCAAGATATCAAATTTGATGCAGAGCGTAAAACATGCTTAAATACGATTGCTTAACCTCTATTTTTTGTAGAAAATACTTTTTTAACTTGACTTTGTGCAATACCTAATGTCTATTATACAATAGAAGATAAATAAGACCGAAATATGTTACTTTTTTACGTTCTCCATCTCATTTGATATCTTGCATCTCATTAGATATATGTATTAATGTATACTACAACCTTTTTGCAATCAAGTGTATATATACATACACAACTCGGAAAAAATATCAGGGAGGATATGCCATAATTCCAAAAATCATGGGATACCATCTCTGATATTTTTTTCATATAGCCGTAGTAACAGACAACTCGAAAAAATATCAGGCATGATATCCGATAATAGTAATAATATCATAAATACTTTATAAATGGCTTGAAAGAAGGTCAAATATACAAGAAACGGCATTTTAATAACGTTAGAAAGTATAACACAATTCATTAATCATTAAAAAAATATACATATATAAAATATAAAAGGCTTTTTATTGCTTTATATACAAAAGACTTCTGTCGAAGTTAGATCATGCTTCTTCTTTTCTTTTTGCTGTAAAGCAATTTGTTCACAGTATTTAGTAAAATAAAATAGAAAATTATAAATTATAAATAGAGTTCAATAGTGGTTCCTCAGCGGTCACTCTTTTTTAACTGGATTCAAACTGGAATTCAGAATTTGACTTTTGCCGCGGAGGGAGGAAAGACGTGAGAATCCGGAGAAGAACCCTTGAAGCACCAGGAGAGAACCAACATGCAACTTACTCACATACGACGCCGAGTCCGGGAATCCAACCCGGGTCGCCTTGCATTTTACTTTATGATCAATGCGTACTAGCTGTACAAAAGTCCTAAGACAGTTATATATATAGTATGTATAGTAAATGCTCTTCCTAATATGTACAAACCTATATTCATTTTCCTTCAGGGCTATTCCACCTCTGACTGCACTGTTTTATTAGTCGTGTAGTGCTGTATTATATGTACAAAATACTAAATGCCTACAGCATATTTTTGCGCACGTATATTCATTATCAATTTAATGAATCCAATAATAAAACATATATAAACGAGAAAATTCTCTATTTTTTATCCGTATTGATTCATTCTCTGAAGTCATTCGAGGTTCGAATACAGTATGTAAAAGTGATTATGTGAAAGGATCGTCAGATTTCTGTTTGCATCCAATCGAAAAATATTGTGATTTCGTTTGCGCCCCGCTTCGTAATCCCGATACAGAGCTGTTTTTGTTTTACTCGTTTAAGAAATAAACGTCTGACGGTAACTGTAACAAACAACTTTGTAATTTTTGTTCATTATCTTTATTGCTGCCATCATACATTGCCCTAGGTTGCTGTTTTTTAACATTCTTAAATTCGTCGAACTTCTTCGGTTTTTTCTCAATCATGCCGAATATCTAGGCTGATCAAAGTCAGGCCACAGCTCACAGATCGAATGGAATTTTGCGTTTGAGGTTTTGGGGAGGGAGGAAATCTTATGTTTATCAATTTGATCGGCCACCATTTCGGCATGATAAAGATTTGTTTTTAAATTAAACTTCAGATAAACTGCAATGGTGCGATCCGATTCCACATTGGCCATCATTATGGTGTTATAACAGTGCAGTTTTTATTATTCCCCAACCGGTTTGCATGCAACATAAACACACACGTTTTCACTAGTTAATGTCTCTCAATGTTCGCTCCTTCTTTCAACCTTTTGCAAGAATTCCTCCGTCAACTACCCCAGAAAGTGATCTCAGTGGTTGATCATCATAATCATCATCATCATCATCATCTCCCCCATCTTATATTACCTTTCCTGTATAAGATTTTAATTTTGATGGCTGCATTTCGTCGTTAAAGCAATTAATTTTCTCGCTACCATTTAAAGCTTTAATTTTTGAAGGCTTTCAAGAAAATCCTCTTGATTTTTGAACTCTTAAATCAGCTCAAATCAACTGCATTGCTCATAAATTACCTTGAAAAATACCACTTGCGTGTTTTAAAAAAGTTCTACCAAAAACAGTGAGTGTGGCCATGCTTCATGCAAAGTTCAGTCTATAAATATCTCAGTTCAGAAAAAAGGCTTAGGAAAGCATTTCTGTATACTATTGTAGAAGATATGGTTGTTATATCGAATGAGCGATCAACTGCTATGGTTCATCAAGTCATTTGTTTGCCAACTTGTCTGTGACTGCTAATTTTGTTTGAAGTTCATGTTTGACTAGTTTGTCTTCATTTAGAAAATGACCGAGCTAATGGCCATAAAATCAAGGCCGGCAAATCTAGACTTTTTACGGTGCGGCAGATATACGGATTCACAATTAATATAACCATTGGAACTAAACACAAAAGTTATAGCAAATATCTGCGCAAAATAACTTAAAAAGAAGGTGAATACGCCAAAAGCCGGGATGTATGATTGGCCAGAGGGAAATGAATCTAAAAAATTTGTTTTTCTTCGCTTTTTTTTTATTTTATTTTTAATAGTTCTGATTTCAACTGAGGATAATCAGGCCTTGAGGAAAAATCTCATGAGGTCTATACTATAAGCCACTAAAGAAGATTCCTTTGACGTTCTCAAAATTTTTAATTATTTTCAATTTAATCCAAAAAAATTAATTCAATCGAAACTGCCCTAAGTGCTATAGTTTTTTATTTATTACCTTGAAATCAGGAAAAGGGAAATAGATAAGAAAGGTTTTTTTTTTGAGGTTTTTGATTAAAAAATAGATGTTACAAAAGATAGATTGAAAATCAATAAAGGTCCTAGAAAAGCTAAGAGCAGTTCATTCAGTTACGCTCTCATACTCTTCTTTAACCTTCTTTCTAACTTCAATCTCTATTCTGACAAGCCACTTTAATGTCGATATTTGCTAAAAGAAATTACTCATCAGTTTCTTAAGATTTTTTCGTACTTCAAGAAATCATTCCTCACAGTAGGATCAAGTATTGTTGACAATTGGAAAATCTTTAACTATTAGTAAACAGTCAGAGTTTCCCGTGTTCAAGTCGAATCGTGCTGCTAGCCATTTTCCTTTTAAACGAGACCATATGAATATCTAGTTATACAAGTTTTGATTATAGAAAGATATGAAATATTGACTTGAAGTGAGATAACCTTGTGAAAAAACAGAGGTGTCTCGTGTGTCAAAACGTCAGGAAGCGTCTTGTTTACTCGGGGCCAGCTGTAATCTCCCCCACACTTTCCCTTTTCATCTCTAGTCACTTCCAAACCGTCAAAAAATTATTAACAGAAAAATAATAAGAGCTCAAGGGAATTTAGTCCTCTTTTAATATTTTTTTTTTATAAATTTAAACATGGTTCAGTTAACATTTGTGGTTGGAAGAAAAAAATAGAAAATGCGTTGTTGTTGTTGTTGCTTGACAGAAGTATATTTTTAATCCATTGATATTGAGAAAAGGAGTAGTAAATTGGAAAATTAATAAAAGTTGCCGGCTAATTTATTTCATTTTGCAAGAATATTCACGCGGCTATAGAATTCTGATTCCAAAAGATCACACCTTGCAATCATTTGATGGTTTTCGTTTGTATTCAGGAAGAAATGGCTTTTTTGGATGAATAAATGAATGCATGAATGAGTGACAGGATTTGAAATTATTTGATATTCCAATCAACTATTTAAGCAGTAATAAAAAGAAATGCATTACACTCGCTCAAATAAGAGGGCTAACGAATACGTGCCATTCTCCCTAATTCACATTAGTTTGTTTATAATATAACCATTAAAATGCTAATACCTCTGCTGACAAAAATCAAGAACTGAAAACTTGAAAACGCAGCTATATAGTAACGTGCCAGTTTCAGTCTCAAACTTTTTCCCCCCTTTTTTTTCTGAGTAGAATTTTGATTTTTTTTTTTTTTTGCTCTGGATGAAGAGATCAAACACTGGATATAAATTAATTAATGTCAGCTTGAATTTTTAGCTATTGATGAGGTTTTGGTATCAAGTCCTGGCTTTGGTCGGTGTATACATGTTGAAATTTCCTGCACAAATAAAAACAAAAAAACTAATGTAAGTAAAATAAAAGCAGAGTCATAAATAGCGGGATAAATTCCAATCAATTACTACAATGTGGCTCGACTCTCACTTTCCGTAAATATCCAGTACGTATTGTCCTTCGAATTACGCCATCAACTCGACACCTGATTGGTCGAATCGCGCTGTTCGAGCGCACATAACAAGCCACCATAAAATCAGTTGATCACAAGTTCGTTGGCGACAGATAAGCAAGCAGCTCGGCCCAAAGCAAGACAAGACCTCTAAAACCTATACCGTAAAAGCCATTCATAAAAAATGATTACAGATAAATTATCTTTGGCGATTCTTTGCTGCTTGGTTGTATCCTTAACCATATCGAAAGCCAAACAACTACAAGGAAGTTCTCTCGATGACCTTTTGGAGGCTGGCGTCGATGCGGGTAAATTTCTATGCTAGATAGTTTTTTTAATATTTCATGTAGTTCACCTGGAAAATTTTTTTGGGTGTTTTCATAATTGAAGTAAGAGATACAAAAGCAATAATGATATTTAAATATTAAATACCGTAAGTCTGATTTTCAGATGTTTTTTTTTTCTGCGTTATCTTGAACTAAGAGTATCGTTAGAATTTATCCTAGATCAAAGCTTTGGTTTCATCTTATAATTAAGAGACAGTCATTTCAAAGTAAAAAGAAATATGTTTAACAACTTACCAAAAAAAAAAAAATATATATATATATATATATATATGTTTTATGACGAACTAACGATAACCAAAAAAGACAAATCCAAAAATTTTTGTCATGTCTCAGTCTTTTTATCTTATCTTTTTTTCTTTCTTTCTTTTTTTTTCAAATACGAATGTCTTTAGGCTAGGATATTTTTCCATATCTATCACTAATTCAGCAGCGGATTTGCTTTTCCGAACAACTACATAGATGAGAACCGGTATTAAGATACTTATTGAACCTTTATTCCGCCTGGGAAATATGTATATTTCAATGCTCTTTACTAAATAATTTATGCTTAATCGTAGAAGAAACACTAAGTAATCGGAAGAATCGACTCAGGTGGCCATTAATATTTTATACTATTCACATATTTCCAGACTTTTTGCAGTATATTCAATGCTTTACTGCGTATATTCAGTCGTAAGTGAGGTGGTTTGCGCTTTTGCCTCAAGATAACTGTATGGATGTATGAGAAAAGCTTTATCATTTGTATTTAAATTTCTTACTAGCTTCTAGGGTGATGCGAGACTATAGGGTAACAGCTACCGTATAGGCCAATTACAGCCTACTCGAAAGAATGTGTTGATTTTTTGTGGAGGGAGGGAAATCAGGAAACCCGGGGAAAAAACCCTAAGTGCAGTAGAGAACCAATAAGAAACATCCGGAAAATCTTTACACTTCTGATAAACATGATGTTCGGATTTGATCAAAACAATTCATTAGACCATATTTCAAGAAACTATTAGATGTTAATACACGAAGTCGTTAACAAGCCGACTATTCATTTCTACTAGCCGAGCTCTTTAATCAAAGAAGTAATAAATATAATGGATGTTATGCAAGGAAAAGTCCTAGAAACACTAGTTTATTAAACCTGTCTTTTTTTTTTTTTTTTTTTTACGTGAAAGGCGACTCATTAATATAAATAAATGCTATTTGTTTATACATGTAGGAGAATCTCGAAAAGCATTTTAAATCCTTATATAGAGACTTTCCCCAGCTACTCTTAAACCCCAACGAATGATCCACGTAAACACTCATTTATGAAGTCTAAACATACTAATCCTTTGCCTATTATGATTTACAGAAAGCCAGACGATGAACAAGCGAGGTAAGCCTAATGCTTTCCACTTCTACTGTCATACACAAAAGTAGAATTAAAATAGAGCCAAGAAAGACTACGGGTTAACGTTAATACAATCTAATAAAACGTTTCTCGTGCAATAACATTAAGTAAGCGAGAAATACCGAACGTTCTATCTTATTTAAAACTGTGATAGTTGCAAGTGGCCTGTCTTGGCTATTTTCTTGTACTTATATATTCAACCAGTGGCGCAGCGCGAGGACCAGAGTTGGAGGGGCAAGCACACGCGTTGTTTTGGCGCGAAAATTCCCGGCCATTCCACAGGTAGCCCAACAAAATAGAAAAAAAGGAAAATGTACGCTCTTTAAACTTTGACTGCCTTCAAATATACCATACATTGGTCTAGAATCTAGAGTCATATGTAGACGTCACTGGGGCCATTGATGATTGTAACTGCCGCGTATATATATATATATATCCGCACATTTACATTCATGACCATGATATAAAATATTTCTTAAAGTCGTTTTTTCCGAAGACAACGATCAAAAATATATCCTTTTAGTTTATCCCTCATTTCCTTCAGTTTCTATCTTCTCTCTCCTTCATTTTGTGTTTGTTATTTTAAAAAATAACACTTCCAAACCGAGAGGACTTTAAAACGCAATATTATATATGTTGTTTATGAAGGCGTTTTAAAAATATTTCATATTTTGAAATCCAAATTACAATCTTTCCTGCAAGCAATTCATTATATCTTCTTCAATTTCTTAGCCTCTATTAATTTAGCAAGAATTTTGTTATGATCATAATAAGTACATCAAGCATTCAAAGACGTTATGTCAAGGCATTTGTTAATAATTATTGGGCCGGAAGCAAAAAAAAAATTGTATATGAAATATTTGGCTCGCTTCTAGCAACATAGTGAAATCATTTAATAATCTTGGCATGTACATAGACGCCCCCGACTCTTTTTGTTTCGCACACATACAGTGAAAGTTCTTACGTCCTAGCATGATATTGTCAGAACCACTAATTTTGCTACAAATTTTTACATAAATGTTCTTTGTATAAAAAATCATAGCAACCTTAAACCAAAAAGCTTTTAAAACATACTTCCTTCGTTCCTGACTGCACTTTTCATTTCTCTGGCTCCTTTTTTTAAATTATTATTTCAAAAAGTTCCTTTTAGGAATCATATTTTTCTTTCAATCCATATTAAAAATGCACAAGCATACTTCCATAGTTTTTCCTGACAAAAAAACATACGTACATATATATTACACATACACATATATATACATATAAGAGTTTTTCGAGGCGAGTGTATTTTGGCCCCTTAAACTATGAATTTTCTTTAGTTTCTATTTAGTCATTCTGAATTACAGATGAGAAAGAAACGAAGAAATCTGCTATTTTTATCTTTCTTTATTGGATTCACATCTTTGTGCAAACCACACGATCGATTCTAATATGAAGTTTATCAAACGAAAGAACTACTAGCGATCTTCGTGGTTTAGTATTGCCTATGATCGAGATTTTAATCGGTAGACTTCTTGAAAACAAATATACGAGTTTTCTGAGTTTTCTACAGCCAAAGTGTCTCTATCCGTTTCTTTTAATTCAGAGTTTCGGAGATTACTATTATAGTTTTTCCTAGTAGGTGAGTTTTGTTCAAGCTCGTTCCAGCTTAGATTTCGTTTCTCGAGACCAAATTAAGTGTAGAATTCAAACTAAGCATTTTCGGTCAAAGCTGCAATTTCTTCTTTTGTTGTAGTAATTGCGAAATTTTACCAACTATCTTCTTTATAAAATAAATCTCTCAATCAAGACTTAAAGGACAACGATTAAAAACACAAGCGGACTCTAACTATGATCAACCTATAAAGTCGATTGATTATTTCTTTTCAGTCGTACTTCTCAAGTTTTTTAATGCAAGCCATTTCTAACAAGTTACCTACATCAAAAACATTATTATTATCAATAGAGCAAAATGAGCAAAATGCTGTTGTCAGTGTCTTCGAGACTTTCGTGAACCGCCTCTTTTACTAAGTGTTTCCTTTAAAAGGAATCTTGTTAAGTTAGTTATGGCTTTGGTTAATGAATTGCCAACTCATTGAAAATTAAGCTCATGCATGCAAGTGGATGGAGTTGTTTTGATATATGAAATATGTAGCTGATTTTGAGACAATCTTAGGCAGAAATTAAACTTTTTCATGTAAACTAATTAATTTTTAATCAACGGGACATTTAGAGACCTATAGAGAACTGACCTGGAAATGGTTTATTCTAGGAGTGAGAGTTTGATGTTCGATAGATTTCTTAAAAATGAAAAATTCGACGATCGCGCCTCCCTCAGAACGTGATGACGAAGGACTTAACACTGACTAATTTGTTAATTTTTTTCCCTTTTTTTTCTTCCAGCTTGCTACGACAAATTCCCATACCTGTGTCGTCGCCCTGGTAGTGTAATGATCTGTAATAACGCTAAGCATAGAAGCCATGCCTTCATAATGGATGTCTGTAGACACACATGTCACGAGTGCTGAGCACTCCAAATCTTCTTCGCTTAAGAATCACAGGTAACTAATTACGGGATCGGAGGGGAGGGGTGGGGTGGGGGGGATTGGGGAAACGTTTGAGCTTCAGTTGTTCTATAGTTGTGCATTGAAAGTTTATCGATACGACCTAAAACAACTTAACTCCAAGGCTGATCAAAGTGAAGTCAGCGCACGGTTAACTCACAGATGGAACCCAGAAACAACCTCTGGGCTGATCAAAGTCAGGGCGCGAATAACACACTGATATCGAATTGGAGTTTAGTGGGTCTTGCGGAAGGAGCAAAGCCAGAGAACCTCAAACGTGAGAGACCTAACAAACTCTACTCACATGTGAGACCCCAGAGGTGAGAGGCAAGTGCACGACTACCGCTACGCAATCCTTTATTCCCTTATTCCTTAGTTCAGGATCCTGTGTCGAGCTACAAAATACAAAATATCTTTCAAGATGGCGGCAAAATTGCCACAATCTGTTAATACAGGATCTAAAATTACCTAGCCAAAGGAATTAGATTCGAATAAATCATTACTAAGCCTTACTAAACGGATAAATATATGATCTTAAAATGGAATTTACAACCCCTCTTTGTCTAAGACTTAATATCCCTATTCACTGATATTGACAAATGCATGAGTTTGAGCCCTCTATTGTTCTTTTAAAGACTCGAGAACAGCATTGCGCGCTCTCTATTCTAGACAAAAGATAGCTAAATACGGCCACGGTGGTTAAAATATCTGCGTACTGTGAAAAACTTCAATTATTTTAACTATCGCCACAAAGACTTTCCTATTAATTTCTGTTAATCTTAAAATACATCGATAATGTATAAAGTGTGAGGAAAAGACTTACCAAGTGATCTATATCAGTCTAATCTGTGAAAAAGCTTTTGATAGTCCGTGAGAATGTGGTTTCCCAAGTTCCATTATATAAATACCCACGTCTGGCTCTAACTCCACATCAACCTCAACATTGAAAATAATCCACTTTGAATAGATAGAACCGCTGGAAAAATTCTAACAATAGTTGAAAATTCAAAACGCGGATACACAATTAGACAATATGTGACCAGCATGAAGTAATAGAGGATCAGAAAACCTAAAATCGGTTCAGCTATTCGTGTTTTGTTTGAATAAAGTTGAAAATAATTTTAGTGCTGTTTGGTTTTTTTTTTTTTTTTTTTTCCTATTCATATACCTAATGGTTGTTTAGGCGTGAAAACACTCACTAAATGTGGGCGATACAAGACAAGGATATAATACTTTAGTTCAGTCAGTGGGATTTAAAGCACGTCCATAAATTCATTAACTCGTTTACTCAGAACTCTAGTGTTTATTCTCAGGTTTTTTCTCCGCCGTAACACCAGACACACTAAATTTAAATTAACTTAATCTCGGATTTCGCCTGGCTTAAGTCACGCAGCCCAGAGGCTATTTCCTTCGTATAGATAAAACTATCTGTTTTCCCTGTTTGCTTGTTGGTTCGTTCGTTCGATTGTGCGCTTGTTCGTTCGTTCGTTCGTTCGTTCGTTCGTTCGGTTGTTCGTTTGT